AAGTTCTATGTATGTAACTGTCAGACTCTATAACACAGTTTAACATCCTTTGGTCATCTTACTCACCAGCTTGTTTGTTCACTGTACGTTTTATACATATTTCTGTACATCGTTATCTGTATATACGAACTTCAGTTGCTTATGTATATAGGACCACTTTGTGTCTCCCTTTTATATTTTATATTCCCCTTGGAGCTGTGTAACACCCACATTTTTCATCCGGAGATAATAAAGGTTTATTCTATTCTATTCTATTCTATATACTGGGTTATGTTAGTGCCCATGTTGCCCATCTGATATGTTTTTGTGGCAGGGCTGCCTAGTGCCAGTTTTATTCCTAGCTGTCGTACCCGATGTTATAACTGATGCTGAGCACATGTTCAATAAAGCAAACGACTGTATTTACTCTTTTTAGATAATAATCACAAACTACCCCACCTACATACCCAGTTCTTACTGCATTGCCCCTTTTAACATCAATGACAGCTTGAAGTATTTTGTCGTAGTTGTGGATGAGGCTTTCTCAGATGGTAAATCTGCCCATTCTTCCTGGCAAAAAGCCTCCAGTTCCTGTATTTCTTGGGCTGTCTTGCATGAACTGAAGTTTGAGGTCTCCTCAGAGTGGCTCAATGATACTGAGGTCAGGAGGCTGGCAGGGCCTCTCCAGATCCTTCACTTTATTTTGCTGTAGCCAATGACAGGCCGGCCTGGCCTTCTGTTTTGCATCATTGTCATGTTGAAATGTCCAAGTACGTCACATTTGCAGCTTCCAGGCTGATGAATGCAAAATTTACTCAATTTTTAAAAAAATTCCTTTTTTGATAGTGTAACACACGATACTTTACCACTACTGAATGTAGAGAAAGTTAGGATCTTAGGCTTATGGTCTCTAGGAATCGACTAAGGAGCGAATGACACACAGTTAAAAGAACAGTCAACATTTATTCAAAACAAAACCAAAAACAGTCATCCAACAGTTCGCAACAGTTCCAATAGTCCATATTTGTCAGTCTGTGTATTCAGTTTTAGAGTTCAGAGTTCAGTGTTCAGAGTTCTTTTCAGTCTTTTCAGTTCAGGTGTGTGAGTGTGTGTGTATAGTGTTAATGTTAGTAGTACTACCCGGGTAGTGTATTGTTCTGAGATCTCATAAGCTTATCTGTCAAGAAGTAACGCAGTTGTCACTTCTAAGTAGGCTGGAAATCTTTCCTGCATCGCAGCCGGGGATCTGGAATCCTGGCTCGTAACTTTAGACTCCAACAAAAAAACCAACCTGCACAGGGCAGTGAACATATTTTACATGAATATCATATAACAACTTAATCAACACTAGTGACCAAATGTCTCTCACTCTTTGTATATAACGACTTAATGCAATCAATAATAAAATTAATCAAAGAACCTTAAAACAATTTCCACATCATACAAATTTAACTCAAATCTCATATTTTGTGAACAGCAGTCACATCAATCCAGTGAATTAAGAGAATGTACATTACTGATGCACGAGGAAAGTGCAAAACGTGGTCGCAGTACTATTTAGCCAAAGACTGCTCATATTTATCATCTCATTACAATAAATAAAACTTACCTACTAGCTTTAGCCTGGTTTAAAACATTCACAAGTGAAGAAATAAAAAGATAATACAGCACTTAAA